TTTTTTGGGAGATCCACGTGCTGCTCAGCCTGACAGATCCCCCCCCCTGCTCCATTGTCCCCGAGCCTGCCCCACAAGGTGTGGGGGGGTGGCTGGGAGGAGCAGGGTGCGCTTTGCAGGCTGCAGGGAGAGGGGATTAGGCACTGAGTGGCGAGCAGGCGGAGGGTCTCACGGGAGGATTACCGGGCAGGGGAGATTATTCGGGATGGCATATGGGGCCAGCGGGGGGGCAGCAGCCGGAAGAAGGAAAGCTTGAAGCAAGAGCATCAAGCAGGTCCTTGGAGAGATCCCCATTCTCACCGCCCGCTTCTGCCTTCCAGTCTCCAAAAGGAAGCAGCGCCAGTGGATCGGCCCCACAGGACTCAACCAGACGGGTGAGGAGCAGCCCCCCGTGGTGCTGGGGTTGGGCTTGGGGCTGGCTGGAGAGGCCTGCTTGCCCCACAACCGCCGCGGGTGGAGGTGTGAGTGGGCTCGCCCCCAGCCCCGGCTCTCACTTCCTGCCGCCACGTTGACTCATCAGAGCGATATTGACTCAGCCTGGAGAGCTGAGCCCCGGGTTGTGGCACGAAATCGGGTCCCAATTTTACTCAGTCCCCTTTCCCTCCCGGGTGGTGGGGCGGGCGCATCACCTCGAAATTGCTACTGCAGCCCCCAAACTGCCTCCCCCTCCTGCTGCCCAAATCCGGACTCCTCTCCCACCGTCTCTTCCAGTCTCCTTCCACCGCAACAGCACTGTCACCATGAGGCCGCGGGCAGAGGGGCAGCGGGCGCAGGGGGGGGACAACGACTACGCTCAGCCCCCCCAGAAGAGCTCCTACCTCTCGGCTTACCCAGGTAAGCACAGGAGGACTCCAGGAACGGCTCCTCTGTCCTCCCTTCCCACACAAACCCCACAGACAAGAACATCACGGGGAGAATTTTGCCGATGCCAGGCGAGGGCCTGCGCCGGTGCTTGGGGTGCACCCCCAACCACCAAAATGAGTCACATCCATTCCCCCTGCAGCCCTGGAAAGCGCGAGCAGAGCTTCCAACCCTCCAGACAACTCCTCCGACAGCGACTACGACCTGCACTCTGCCCGCAGAGTGTGACCTCCCTGCCCTGCCAGAGCTGGGACCCCCTCGGGCTGCCCGGGTCCCCGGCCGAGCCATCCCCGCTCTCCGACAGCGCTGTCCCAGGGTGGTCACGCCCATGGTAGCAAAGCTGAGCAACTGCTGAATTCGCAGCTTTTCTTGCATTTTTGGCAAGCGACCTCGTTTCCGCTGTCAGCCACCTTCCCGCCCTGCAGGCAGAGGTGGGATGAGGCACGAAAAAAGCAAATATTTTGAGCGAAAGACGTCCCTGCCCACGGCAGGGGGATGAACGAGATGAATTTTGACAAGAAGATCGATTTTGAGAACCAGGTGAATTTTTAAAGTCCTTTTAAACCCAAACCCTTCTGTGATTCTGCACAATGATGAATGAAGCCGATAGAAGAGATGCCAAATCTGCGCTGCTCACCTCGGAAGCCTGCCCGTGCCCCCCAGATGTGATGGGAGACCTCTGGGGCTGGGGAGACCCAGACTTGAAGCCAAATTTGCCTGTGCTCCTCCGTACCTGCTCGTCCTGGGCACCAAGCACACACTGCTCAGCTCTGACACAGCCCAGCTGGGCTTCGACTGCACCCCGGCACCCTAACACTTTCCGAGAAAGCTTCCTCTTGCTTTTGAGCCCATCTTGTGGGAGTGCAAAGTGTTTTTGGTTTGTTTTTTAAGCTATTTGTATGAGTCTAAAAAGCAGCTGAGTTGCAGCAGGCTTCATACCTGCTCTGAGAGCAGAGCAGCCGCGCTCACGGCCGTTCAGAAGGGGTTTGCCGGCTTCTCCATCTCTCAGAAGCGGGATAACCACACTCCTCCTCCTCCTCCCGCCCAGGGCCAGGGTGAAACCGAAATCGGCTGCTGTCTGCCAGGCGCTCCCGTACAGGTGCTGAGCTTCGTGAGGAAGACAGCGAGACCGGCATCTGCCGGGGTCCGGGGGGAGCTGCGGAGATACGCGCTCGGCTGCGTCTGCGTGGGACGGCGCAAGATTTGGGCAGATGGAGACAGCAAAGCTCGGCTGCAAGGAGCACGGGGAGGCGTAGAAATACTGAGAACAAGTCTGAGATATTTAATAAGCAATAACCATGGAAATAAAATTGTTTGTTTTTTTCTAGTAACTATGTCTTGTTCTCTTCCTTCCACCACTACCAGTGCTGCTCCTTAGACCAACGACCTCCCAGTGAAGAAAAACGTGGGACGGTGGCAGAAGAGGGGTGAGTTGTGCTGATGTTGAAGAGCCCCACACAGATGGGCCCCTTAGGAAAGATGAAAGCAAGAGAGCAGGAAAGATGAGTTGGGAGAAAATGAGGGGGTGAAAAGGTTTTATTGACAAAAATCAAGGGGAAGTTGGTGTAAGGATGCCAAGAGGGCATCAAAAGATCAATAGCAAATGTCAGCTGGAGCCCTGTCATTTCCGAAAGCAATCACCACTGCGACCCCGTGCGCAATTCATCAAGTTTTATTACTGTAATTAACCAGAGATACGGGAATTGTTTCCATCAAACCCCACAAGCGTTTGCCTTGTTCTAGTGCATTAGTAATCTTTCCTTATAAATAACTTACAGGGATACAGGCAGGATCTGTAGGATAAAGTGCTGAGCAAAGCAAATCCCATGAACATTTAACTTGTCGCTCCCTCCGTTACCTAGTGTTTCCTGAGAAGGGGGACGTGAGGAAGGCTGCAGCATGCAGAACCCCAAATAACCACCTCATTCCCCCATGCACCATGGGAGAGGCCAGCGACAGAGAAGTCTGTCCCAGTGTTTTAGGAGGCACCAACTCCCATTCTTCCCCATGCCTCCAAAGCACCAGCAGCCCGAGACGCTGTGCCAGCCCAGTAAAGAGGTTTTTGTTCCCCTTATCGGGGAGGACCTGAACGCAGACAGAGGGCACAGCCTCTGCTCTGGAGCAGGCCGGTAGTCACCACGCAGGCTAGGAGAGTGCTGAGGCAAGCCTGACCGCCCCTCACGCTGCAAAGGGCTTGAGCAGAGCTGGGGTGGAAGTTCCCCTGGCATAAAAAGACAGATCTCAAGGCCTGGCCCTCCCCAGGGGCGAGCCGGCTGCTTCTCCCTGCTGCAGTCAGTCACAAATCGCCTGCAAGCTGGGCTGGCTCTGCCTCCTGCTTCCAGGAAAATCCTTGGAAAGCAGCATTTTGCGTCAGAAATACTGTCAAGAGATTCCCACCGTGTCTTCCGAACACCTGTGAAAAGGCTCAGAATCACGACACCGCATCTGCTACCCACGTGGCAGGCGCCAGGCACACGCGGAGTCTCTCTCGCTCACCCACGCGCCCTCGCACACACGCACACAGAAAAGGAAGGGGATCCATCCTGGCTGTGGCGGCTGCAGTCAGTGCACAGTCCTTGCATACCCCAGCCCAGTACGTGGCTTTCACACCAGAGTCCATTTGGAAGTGAACTTCGGCGATCATCGTAAACCGAACCTAAACCGGTGCAGCCTCAGCCTGCTCGACCCCCGCTGCTGCTACCGGCTCGTATCCTAATGCTTTTGCACCCACGGGCCGAAGAGCAACGCTTTCGGCTCGCTTTTCTTCCTCAGTCCACACAAAAGAGCAGGGAGCAGCAGAGGATGCTCCCCAGGAGTCCTGATTTAGT